AGGTGTGTGTGTGTGGGGGGGGGGGGGGGGGCTGGAAGCACGAACGGAACACGGAGCCTCCTTCCCCGGGCCTGGCGCTTTCCCCAGCGTTCTCACTGCAGGCTTTGCTCTCATTACTCTCCTATGCATATATCTTTGTGTTTGGGGGTCGTGTTTCAGACCTGATGGGGCACCCATTAGGGGCCGGGTGTTGTAATTAGCCACGAAGGTAAGGCGGCGACTAAGATAACATTCCTGCCCTTGGGGAGCCTCCGGACCCGTAGGGGACATAGACAAACCACCATTTACACAGCAAACTTGGCTGGAAGCGTCAGAGCGCAGACCGCAGATCCACACTCCGGAGCCGCCGCGACGCCTGCTGGACGCAGAGGGGAGGTGCAGGCACTGCGGGACCCAGACGGACCCCAGGGAGCTGCCCGGAGACTCGGCCTGAAGACCAACCCGCCCCGCTCCCTCCCCCTCCAGCCCCCAGCCTGCCCAGGCGGTCTCGGCTCTGGCTTTGGGCTACCTCTCACCGCAAGCCGGCGCGCTTGTGAAGGCTCTCACCACCCCAGGCAAACATCTGCGCTTAGTGGCGGAGCGGTCTGAGGTGTCTGTCTGTCTGCCTGTCTGGGAAATTCCCCTCCTGGGCCTCCCTGTGAATTTCGGAGACAGGATTAACCCTCTGAGTGTCTTGCAGGAGGCCGACCTCCGGAGGGACATACTGTCCACCTCTGGGGGCACTGCCCGCCGGGAGGCGCCATTTCCAGTCTGGAACTGGCAGAGCTGCTGGATTGCTACTCCTTTACTGAGCACCCTGTGGTGGGGGTGGCAGGGCCACAGGGTCCTGGGGCGCCTGCTAACCTGGCCCAGACCTGAGGGTATCTTTAGACAGTGGGGTAGGGGTGGGAGGCCTGTGCCGTTCCCTCAATGTCATTTTGAAAAATATAAAGTATATGTTTCCCACTTTATTAGGAATCGGCATGGGTGGGGTCTGGCTAGCCTGCCCCATCGGGCCTATCTTGCAGGCTGAGGGCTGGGGTGGGGGTGGGGGTGGGCTGAGAGGTGGCTGGCCAGCCTGCCTCCTGGTCCATCTTCCGTGGAGGGGGCAATTTGCATATTAGCCTTTTATTATATAGGACGTGCGTGAAGTTGGAAAAGAGAGAACAGGAGCCCTAGCTGGTTTGGCTCAGTGGTTGGAGCTTTGGCCCTTGGACTGAAGGGTCCCAGGTTCCATTCTGGTCAAAGGCACAGCAGGTGGGGCGAGTTGGGGAGGCAGTCTATCGATGTGTCTCTCTCACATTGATGTTTCTCTCTCTGTTTCCCCCTCCCTTCCACTCTGTCTAAAAATCAATGAGGATTAACAAAAAGAAAGAGAGAGAGAGAGAGAGAGAGAGAGAGAGAGAGAGAGAGAGATAACAGGAGAATAAAGGGGAGGAGGAGCCACAGCCACTGTTACCATCATCCCTTTCCAGCCAGCTTTTTGCTCGTGAGCTTTGGGGGTGGGGTGGGGGTTGCTTGCTTTTACATAGTGTGATAAATATCACACATTTCCTTCCTGTACTTTTTTCTCTCCCTTAACTTTGTGACAGAAGACATTTTTCATGTTGCAAGCTCTTTGTAAACAACATTGTTTTTAGTAACTTTCTTTTAAATCCTCGCCTGAGGATACGTTTTTATTGATTTTTAGAGAGAGAGGAAGGGAGAGAGAAACATTGATGTGAGAGAGAACCATGGATCAGTTGCCTTCCATAGGTGCCCAGTTGAAGATCAAACCCAAAACCTATTGTGTATGGGATGACAGTCCAACCAATTGGACCACTTGGCTAGGGCTGTGAACAATTTACATACATTTGTAGCCCTAGCCAGCTTGGCTCAGTGGATAGAGCAGGGGTGGGCAAACTTTTTGACTCGAGGGCCACAGTGGGTTCTTAAACTGGACCGGAGGGCCGGAACAAAAGCATGGATGGAGTGTTTGTGTGAACTAATATAAATTCAAAGTAAACATCATTACATAAAAGGTTACGGTCTTTTTTTTCATTAGTTTTATTCATTTCAAACGGGCCGGATCTGGCCCGCGGGCCGTAGTTTGCCCACAGCTGGGATAGAGCATTGGCCTGTGGACTGAAGGGTCCCAGGTTCGCTTCTGGTCAGGGGCACATGCCTGGGTTGCGGGCTCGATCCCCAGTGGGGGGTGTGCAGGAGGCAGCCGATCAATGATTCTCTCTCATCATTGGTGTTTCTCTCTTTCCTTCTCCCTTCCTCTCTGAAATCAATAAAAATATATTATAAAAAACAATTTATATATATTTACAAACAATATTTAAAAATATTTTTATTGCCGAAACCGGTTTGGCTCAGTGGATAGAGCGTCGGCCTGCGGACTGAAAGGTCCCAGGTTCGATTCCGGTCAAGGGCATGTACCTGGGTTGCGGGCACATCCCCAGTGGGAGATGTGCAGGAGGCAGCTGATCGATGTTTCTCTCTCATCGATGTTTCTAACTATCTCTCTCCCTTCCTCTCTGTGAAAAATCAATAAAATATATTTTAAAAAAAATATTTTTATTGATTTCAGAGAGGAAGGGAGAAGGAAAGAGAGATAGAAACATCAATGATGAGAGAGAATCATTGATTGGCTGCCTCCTGCATGCTCTCCACTGGGGATGGAGCCAGTAACCTGGGCATGTGCCCTGACCGGGAATTGAACCAGTGACCTCCTGGTTCATAGGTCGGTGCTCAAACATTGAGCCACGCAGGCTGGGCTAAACAATATTTTTAATGGCAGCATAACGTTCCATTGCCTGTTTCAGAGTTTGCCATTGGAGTGCGGCAGGGTAGATATAAGTACACGCATCCCCACACACACTCAGCTATCTTCAGTTGCTGAACACTTGAGTGACTGGTTCTTAGAACCTAGGAACAAAGCTGAGGGTGACTTTCATTCAACAAGTGTTTATGGAGCACGCAATCTGGACTGGACTCCGGATTGGGGCGGGGGGCTTAGTGGAGGGCAAGAGGAGAGATCCCAGCTGTCCTAGAGCTTATGTTTCAGATGCAATCTGGGCATCGGCCTTTCTAGATCTTGGAGAATTTCACAATGTGGGAGAGTGCTTTGCTAAAGATGTTGCCAAGCTAAAGCCAGATTCTTTTGGCTACTAACTCGTCCAGCTCTTTTACTGAGGGCCAAAGTGAGCAGAACCTAATGGATCTGTTCCCGCTCACACACATGCAACTCATGATTCCATGGAAGAGGGTGGGATTCTTCCCCTGGGAGTCCATGGCCGGGAAGAGGAGTTTGGACAGGATGGGAAGTGGGAGGGAGAAGGGAGGGGCCGTGGTAAGGAGGATGAGACTGTGTTCCAGGGGGTGTTGTGTACTGCTGCCTCTTCCACCAAAAAATCGACTGATTGCCCGGTTGGTGTGGCCCAGTGGTTGAGCGTCAACCCAGGAACCCAGAGATCGAAGTTCAACTCCCGGTCAGGGCACATGCCTGGGTTTTGGGCTCAATCCCCAGACGGAGGCTTGCAGGAGGCAGCCGATCAATGCTGTTTCTCTCTCATTGGTGTTTCTATCTCTCTATCCCTCTCCCTTCCTCTCTCTCTCTCTAAAAAAATGAAATAAATAAAATTAATTGCTCATGTTAAACACTGTACTGGGAGGCACTGGGGACTCTGAAATATATCCTTGCCCTAAAGGAATCTAGTTTACTGGCAAATATATCATTAGAATATAAGATAAGAATCGTAATAGTGGTGTAGGTGGAACAACAGGCTGTGGGCTCATGGAGGAAGGGATGTTTATTGGTGGTGAGGAGGGCTTCACAGAAGAGGAGACATTCGACGTGAGTGTCGAGGATAAGGAGGCATTCACATTCAAGGGTGAGGGAACAGAGAACAAAGGTAGAGGGTGAGCGTCTGTGCAGTGACTACGCTGAAGGAGCTAAAATTACAGAATAGGCCCGGGGAGGCGTGGCAGCAGAAGAGAGCAGGAGGTGGTTTGGGGCCGTGTTGCTAAGGGCCTTGAATGCCACGCACAGGATTTGAATATTAGTCTGTAGCCCATAGGGCAGTGATGGCGAACCTTTTGAGCTCGGCGTGTCAGCATTTTGAAAAACCCTAACTTAACTCTGGTGCCGTGTCACATATAGAAAGTTTTTGATATTTGCAACCATAGTAAAACAAAGACTTATATTTTTGATATTTATTTTATATGTTTAAATGCCATTTAACAAAGAAAAATCAACCAAAAAAATGAGTTCGCGTGTCGCCTCTGACACGCGTGTCATAGGTTCGCCATCACTGCCATAGATGCTTAAGTAAGAAGCACAATCAGATTTGTATTTTAGAAAAAGCACTGTGGGTAACAACATGTGGGCAGAGGAGGGAGCTCAGAGGTGGAGGACTTTGGGCCTGAGCTGCAGGCGCTCCGGTGGGAGGGAGGAGGGCCTGAGGCTGAGGAGTGGCAGAGGCGAGGCGGGGTGAGCACCGGAGACATGGAACAGAGTCGGATGGGACCTGAGCCCGGGGCCAGAGGAGGGAAGGGTGTGGAAGGCCTGGTGGGCAGAAGTGGCCCTTACAGACAGGAAATGGAGGAACAGACCTGGGAAGGAGAAATGCAGCGTGTCATTTTGGTCATTGTATCAAATTGTGATGATTTTGGCTGCGAGTAGCAGAATACCCAACTGCCAGCAGTTGAAACAAGGTTTTATTTCCCCCCACCCCTAGCAAAGCATTCTGGACGCGGGACAGCGGCTCAACGTGTTTTCAGAGACCCAGCGCTGTCTGTCAGCCTCTCTGGCGAATGGAGTGCAGAAAGGAGGGGTGGGAGCACAAGGTCTCCTCCTAAGGCTCTTTTAAATATGTTTTTTAAAAAGTTGATTTCAGAGAGAGGAAGGGAGAGGGAGACAGAGAGAGAAACATCAATGATGAGAGAGAATCGCGGATCGGCTGCCTCCTGCACGCCCCCCACGGGGGATGGAGCCCGCAACCCGGGCTGTGCCCTGGCTGGGAATGGAACAGTGACCTCCTGGGTCCATAGGTCAACACTCAACCGCCGAGCCACACCCGTTAGGCAAAGCTTTTTTTTTTTAAACCTGGTGAGGAAAATCTTTTCTACCAGCCTCCCAGCCAACTTATCCTCAGTGGACCGAACCGGCTCAGTGTCCATTGCTATCCCCATATCTGTGAAGGAAGGAGGAGAAGGGACTGGTTCTGACTGGGGCTGAGGTCCACCATCGCCCAAACAGAACCTGTTCTGCTCCCCAGAGAACTGGTGCCTGCGAGCCTGGAAGCGGGTGAGCCCTGGATAGTGCCTGCCACACACATGCTGCCTGAGGGGCCAGCAGAACTGCCAGGGGGGTGTCCCAGGGCAGCGGCAGGTGGGGGCTGGAGCTCAGGAGGGTGGGGAGCTCGGAATACTGTCCCTTTGGGACGCTCTAGGCTGCGTGCCCCAGGCAGGGAAGAAGCGTGTGGGGGGGGCACAGGACCAGGAACCCCTTACCTGTGGTTTTTACTGGGGAGAAAGCCCAGCTCCCCAGCTGCATGGGGGAAAAGCTGGGCCGGGCCAGGGTGAGTGAGGGTGGGCCGGCACCTTCACCTCCAGGGCAGCCCATAAGCCTCTTTTCCGTCACTGGCTAGACTTTCCCTGTAGCATAGTGTCAGAGCAGGAGTGTAGATGCTTCTGTTGCAGAAGCATTCCTTTTATATAACTTTTCCCCTGATTACAGAAGAAATAAATGATCAGAAAACTAGAAGCAGCACAAATGAAGAGAGAAAAAAAGAAGTCAGCCCGGGGAGCAAGCACACTTCTTGAATCCCTCCCCGGGGCCCGGTAACTTTTTATGGTAAATATCTCTGAGAGGTTACAGTTTAATGCCCGTGTTACAGCCAGCCCGGAATCCCTTACAGTTATGTAACATTTTATGGTCTTCCAGGTTTTCCAGCTGTGTGTTTTATCACGGACTGTTTCATCTTTATAGACTCCTGGACATTGCGATGCGGGCAAAGGCAGGAATTGTTCCTCCCTCCTCTCCCCCCACCAGATGAGGAGACCAAGGCTCAGAAAGGTGATGGTGTGATCGGGGTGGGGCCCAGCTGCCCCGGCTATGGGGGTGGTGGCGGGGAGGCGCTCCTTCCAGACCAGAGCCCATGAGTAGGGGAAGGGAGGGGGCAGGGAGGGGGTGGGCCCTAGCGGGGACCCCGGGGGCTCTGTGGGCCGTCCTCCTGGAGGGCAGAAGCCTTCTCTGCCTGTCCCTGGAGGCAGGAGGTGAACAGAAAATGGCTTACTTTCCGCTTCACCCGGTGTCGGCTGAGGTCGGCCTGTGTAGGAAGCGCTCTGCAGGGCCTGCCAGAGCGGCCCCTCTGGAGAGAGCTGGGCGAGAGCTGGGTTTAGGCCCGGCTGTGGGAACTGAGAAAGTTCTGTCACCTCTCTGAGCCTCTGCCCTCCTTTGTATTTCCACCTCTGAGAGGAGGCAGGCTGACCTCAGGGCGTCATCATAGGGATCCAGTGAGAGGCCTGGGCAGCCGGGGGAGTTGGCTGCCATGGAGCCCTGGTGTGCGCCTCTCCGCCGGCCTGGCCTCCTGGGCTGGCTGGGGTGACTGTGCTGATACTGGGGGCGATAGGGGAAGACCAGGATGTAGGGGAGGCAGGGAGGAGGGGCCCAGGAACACAAATATTGATTCTGCTCAGGAGCACTTGGTAAGCCCGGGGCATGGCGGTTCCATGGGTTCAGAGGGACGGTGGAGGAAACACTTGGGAGGGTTTTTCCAGGTGGGAATGGCCAGCAAGGGCGCGTCATGCCCAGAGGGATGGTGTGGGCCACACTCCCCTGACCTGCAGGCGTGAATGGGGGAGGTGGGGAGAAAGTCTGCCCCTCAGATGTCCTTCCTCCATGTTCCTTACCCCCCACCCCAGATCCATGGAGCCCCTCCCTCACCCTATCATCTCGTGGCTGTTGCCGAAAGAAGTCCACGCTAAGAAAACGTCTTCTAAGAGCGTATTTGAGCCAAACTGGTGACAATTGCCAGGAAGCAAAATCTCAATGGACTGAGAAAATGCCCCGAGGATGGCGGTTTTGCCGTTTGTTTTATACGTTAGAATCCAAGGAGGAGCTGTAAGGGGTGTTACAGAAGCTCCATCCACGCAGGTTAGGCAGGACGGAGGACGCAAAGCAGGGAACTCTCTGAGATTGGATAGACTAAAACAGAACAACAAAAGAAGAGAGACGCACTTCCCTTACATTGGTAGGCACAGGACAGCGAGTGTTTACAGCACATGGAGATGGTATGTGGGCAACAAGATAAGGTGTGGTCTCACGCTCAGGTGCCTGCGGCTGTGCTTTGAGGGTTTTGGAAAAGAGAGCTGCTCTGGCCTTTCAAAGGTCTGCTACCAAAGACAATAGAAACCTCAGAGGTAAAGACTGGCCTAGGACTTGACAACCAACCATGACCCGCCTTGAGTTAGGAATTTTGTCCTTGCTGTTAATCCTCACCCGAGGATATTTTTTCCATTGATTTTTAGGGAGAAAGGGAGGGAGAGAGAGAGAGAAAGAGAGAGAGAGAAACATCAATGTGAGAGAGACACATCCATTGGTTGCCTCCCACCCTCGCTCAGATTGGGGCTGTGGATCGAACCTGCAGCCGGTGGGACTCGGCAGAAAGAGCTCCCCTTGGGGACAGACCTCCTGGAGGCTCCCAGGGAGACTGGTTTTCCCTGGGCTGAGGACATTCCAGATTGGGCCGGAGAAGGCCGGGCCAGCCCAGCACGGCTTAGCAGCAAGCCACGGGGCTGTATTCCATCAGAGAACTGAGGGGAGGCAGAGAGAGAAAAGTTTGGGAGACTCAAGAGCAGATAATGGGCATGGCGCCCTGGGAATAACAACATGGCTCACGGTTACAGAACACGGTCACCAGCGCAGGCGCATTGGAAGCACTTTGCAGACAAGAATGCACTTATCTTCACACTCAGCATGAGAGAGAGGTAGGGTTGTTCTCCTTATTTTATAGATGAGAAAGCACAGAGATGTCAATAACTTTCCGGAGGTCACACAGCTAGCGGTCTGAGGCAAGGCAATTTGGCCTGAGAGTCCTGATCTAACCACTGCACCATACTACCCGGCTGTTCTGGCAGCTGTTCCTAGCAAGGGGTGAGTGGTAGTCTGGGGTGAAGGTCACTGGGAGCCCAGAGAGACACAGACCAGTATGAAACAGTCCCTACAGGACGCAGCAGCGGTTTGGATGTGGGGGGCAGGTGGGATCATCTGTGTCAGCATCAGGAGCCCGGGCGGGAAGCAGGACCATGAAAGCCTACAGTTAAAACACTCGCTTCCAGCCCAGCCGGTGTGGCTCACTGGCTGAGGGTCAACCTATGACCCCGGAGGTCACAGCTCGATTCCTGGTCGGGACACATGCCCTGGTTGCGGGCTTGGGCTCCAGTAGGGGGCATGCAGGAGGCAGCCATCAATGATTCTCTCGCATCACTGATGGTTCTATCTCCCTCTCCCTTCCTCTCTCTGAAATAAATTAGAAGATATTAAAAACAAAAGGTAATCTTTATTTTTTAAGAATTTTTTCCCCCCTGCAAAAAGCGTTATTGTTTCCTTTGGTCCAATGCATGGGGGAGAGGCTTCAGGTGGTGAACAGAATGGCGGGTCCGGGGAGAGGCTTCAGGGGGTGAACAGAATGGCGGGTCCGGGGAGAGGCTTCAGGGGGTGAACAGAATGGCGGGTCCGGGAGAGGCTTCAGGGGGTGAACAGAATGGCGGGTGGGGGAGAGGCTTCAGGGGGTGAACAGAATGGCGGGTCCGGGGAGAGGCTTCAGGGGGTGAACAGAATGGCGGGTCCGGGGAGAGGCTTCAGGGGGTGAACAGAATGGCGGTCCGGGGAGAGGCTTCAGGGGGTGAACAGAATGGCGGGTCCGGGAGAGGCTTCAGGGGGTGAACAGAATGGCGGGTCCGGGGAGAGGCTTCAGGGGGTGAACAGAATGGCGGGTCCGGGAGAGGCTTCAGGGGGTGAACAGAATGGCGGGTCCGGGGAGAGGCTTCAGGTGGTGAACAGAATGGCGGGTCGGGGAGAGGCTTCAGGGGGTGAACAGAATGGCGGGTCCGGGGAGAGGCTTCAGGTGGTGAACAGAATGGCGGGTCCGGGGGAGGCTTCAGGGGGTGAACAGAATGGCGGGTCCGGGGAGAGGCTTCAGGGGGTGAACAGAATGGCGGGTGGGGGAGAGGCTTCAGGGGGTGAACAGAATGGCGGGTCCGGGGGAGGCTTCAGGTGGTGAACAGAATGGCGGGTGGGGGAGAGGCTTCAGGGGGTGAACAGAATGGCGGTCCGGGGAGAGGCTTCAGGGGGTGAACAGAATGGCGGGTCCGGGGAGAGGCTTCAGGGGGTGAACAGAATGGCGGGTCCGGGGAGAGGCTTCAGGTGGTGAACAGAATGGCGGGTGGGGGAGAGGCTTCAGGGGGTGAACAGAATGGCGGGTGGGGGAGAGGCTTCAGGGGGTGAACAGAATGGCGGGTCCGGGGGAGGCAGCGGCCCCGCACCGGCCTCCGGGCTCCAGAGGCGCCTGGCGGTGCCGGAGGGGCCTTTGGGAGACACTGGCCCGGCCCGGCCCGGGGCGCAGGCGGCGGGCGGCAGGTGGGGCCCGGCTCCTTGATGGCGTCGCCTCCTCCCCGGCAGCGGTTCTGCGGAGCCGGAGCTGAGGGTCTGCGGGGAGCGCGGGGCCTGCGGGCCCAGAAGGCCGGGCTCGCTCCTCTCCGAGGCCAGGGCGGCTCGCAGGGCGCCCCGAGCTGTGCCCACTCCTCTCGGGCGGCGTCAGCTCGTCCTGGAGGAGAAGGCGCCACCGCGCTGGCTTCACAGCTGAAGACGCTGGGCGCCCTCGCGCTTCTCCACCAACTCGAGGAGGACGCGGCCGCCGCCCCGGAGCCACCTCGTCCGGACAGAGGTGGGTGCGGGCGCGCAGGTGCAGGCCGGCCGGGCGGGCGGTCGACGGCAGCCTCCAGCCGGTGGAACAATTCTGATGAATTTGGGGGCTCACGGTTGTTCGTCAATAGGGGTGAAGGTAGAAAAAATAAACTGTGTCTGGTCTCCGAGGTGGTGACTGGAAAGGAGGGCAGAGGGTGCCGAGGCTGGAAGAAGGGGCGTCCCGGGGTCTGTTCCGTCCAAACACTGTTGAAGCAAGAGACACATCTGGGACCGCTGAGGCATTAGCCAAAAGGTCATCTTTTTTTTTTCTTTTTTAACTTGCTCTCCAGGCCTTTCTGCTGGAGCTCAGTCCGGCAGATGCTCCCACTCAGGGCTCCAAACGCACAGGGAGGGCTCAGCTGTGGGAGTTTAGAATCCATTTCCCAGTAACTATTCCCGTGGCCCTGGCTCTAGCTCTGGCCGCCCCCTACCTGGTCCCTGCCCATCTCCCAAGGGAGGTTCCCAGTTTTTCCATCCATTGTCTCAACTACTGGGTTTCCATCCAGCAAATCCTTTCTCTGCTTTAAGTGACCCTGAGTCAGTCTCTGTCACTGGCCAGACAGAACCTGAACGGGTGCAGAGTGAGTCGGCGGCGGTGCCAAGAGCACAAGCCTGGGAGACTGGGAAGATCATGTTAACTTAACAATGAGGGCCAAGTGAGAGGCAACCAGCATTTATTTGAGATCCAAATCAGGAAGCACAGACTCAGGCCGAAAGCCAGTAGTGTTCTGATTGGGAGTTAAAGGCAAGGGGTGTTTATGGGAAAGGAAGGGGAACAATGACATCAATAGAAGTGTTGATGTGAGAAATGGCCAGCCGGGTTGGTGTGCTCGGTGGTTGAACATGGACTTTTGCCAGTTGGGTCCCCAGTAGGGAGTGTGCAGGAGGCAGCCAATTAATGATGTTACTATCTCTTCTCCCTTCCTCTCTCTAAAAACAAACAAAAAAACTAAATAAAAGAGATTTGCTTTAAAAAAAGAAAAGAAATGCTCAAACCTGTAGATATCTATATATATAAAAGGCTAATATGCTAAGTGTCTGTCTGACTGGTTGCTATGACGTGCACTGACCACCAGGAGGCAGACGTTCAACGCAGGAGTTGCTGAGCTGCAGTGACTTGGCAGTTGCAGTTTTTGGGTGACGCACCCTGAAACCGGAGAGGAGGGAGCCTGATTCCTTGCGGGGCTGTACAATTCCACCTTCGGCTGTGGGTTATGTTGTTGCTGGGGCACTGTCAGCCTCGAATCTGGTTTACTGCACACTTGCATTTGCATTCCACACCCTGTATGACAGCAACTTTGCAGAGTGCCCTCTCGCACTCCGGGACCCCTCGGGGGATGTTGGAGAGCCGGTTTCGGCCCAATCCCCGCAGGCCAGGCTGAGGGACCCCATGTGCCGGAGGGACCCCGCTCATTCCGCAGATACCGGGAAGGGACCGCAGGAGTTTGGCTTCAGAGTGTGTCTGGCCCATCTAGCCCAGTCCCGCCCCGGGACTAATTAATTTCCTTTCAATGTGCACGAATCCATGCACTGGGTTACTAGTTTTTTTATAAGAGTTTATAAACTGAGGATATATGCCGGGGAGGGAGATCTCAAATGCTCCAGATAATAATACTTTTACAGTTTCTCTTTTACAGTTTCTTTTATTCATTTGAGATTAAGGAGGGAAGATTACAAGAAGGTGGGAGAAAGCAAGGCGGAAAATGGATTACAGGATAGTTAAGATTATGTACTCTCTCAGTGGTTCTCAACCCTCTGGCCCTTTAAATACAGTTCCTCATGTTGTGACCCAACCATAAAATTATTTTCGTTGCTACTTCATAACTGTAATGTTGCTACTGTTATGAATCGTCATGTAAATATCTGATGTGCAGGATGGTCTTAGGCCACCCCTGTGAAAGGGTCGTTCGACCGCCAAAGGGGTCGCGACCCACAGGTTGAGAACCGCTGCAGAGAGTTGTCAACCTTTATAAGGACGGCGAAAGGTGGCATTTCTCCCCCGCCCCCCATATGTTTTTGGAGAGAGAGGAAGGGAGAGGGATAGAGAGAAACATCGATGAGAAAGGAATATCATCGATCTGCTGCCTCCTGCATACCCCGTACTGGGGCTAGAGCCCACAACCTGGGCATGTGCCCTGACCAGGTGACCTCTTGGTTCCTGGGTCGACACTCAACCACTGAGCCACACCGTCCAGGCTGAAAGGTGGCCTTTCAAAGGTGTGTTAACCTAGATGCACAGAAACAAAGGACAGGGCTTGCTTAAGAAGAACCTTACCTCTTACACCAAGGAAGCGATAGGCCGCCCTGGCTGGTGTGGCTCAGGAGGTTGGGCGTCTTCCCGTGCACCAGAAGGTGGAGGCAGTGGGGGCAGTGCCGAGGCAGGCGATTCATGCTTTGCTCTCACATCGATGTTTCTCCCTCTCCCTCTCCCTTCCTCTCTCTACAAATCAGGGCTGCCTTAAAACCTTGCACTACAGAAGTAACCGGCCTGGGACGTGACTACCCACCATGACCTGCCCAGCTAGGAATTTATGATCAGATCACCCTGTGAGATTAATGTCTGTATACAAACTAACATAGTGATTGTAATTCCAAAAAAATGCGTTTAATCTTCAGGCCTGTAATCACTCTATCTGCTTTCTTGTTATCTTTGCAAACAGTTGTTTGGGATAGAGTGCGGCTTTAGGCCCAGTGCGAAGATTGTTTCGCCCCATTTAACATTCCAAAGGTTTGAGGAGTAAGACATACAAGGCAGTTCCTCTGAGCTGGCAGCCGTGTTAAAGTGGCTCCATTTGTATTTTTGTCTTTTCTTTTTTTTAAAATATATTTTTATTGATTTCAGAGAGGAAGGGGGAGAGAGAGAAAGAGAGATAGAAACATCAATGATGAGAGAGAATCATCGATAGAATCATTGGTCCCCTCCTGCACGCCCCCCCACTGGGGACCGAGCCCACAATCTGGGCATGTACCCTTGACAGGAATCGAACCTGGGACCCTTCAGTCCCCAGGCCGATGCTCTATCCACTGAGCCAAAGCAGCCAGGGCCATTTGTATTATTTTCTACAATCAATTGCAGCGTGTGTTTTGCGGGGGGGGGCGGGGGGGGGCACAGGGAGTTCTATTTTTGCAGGTTACAGTGCGTGGGGTTACCTGGAGAGTGGGTCAAAGAGGGGCATTTTAGGGGCTGGGCCTGGGGACTGAGCTTTGCGTTAAAGGTGTAGAGATGGGACGGAGAACTGGACCTGAGGCCCTGGGATGACCTGGGAGAGTGGAGAGCTGGTTGCAGACAGAGTGCCTGCAAGGAGCCGGGCGGGATCACGAGAGTGAGAGGACCAGGTATATCCGTGTGGACAGGAGAGACGGGGTTCTATGGAGAGTAACCCCACAGGGTGATCTGGTCATAAATGTCTGTCTAGGCAGGTCATGGTGGGCGGTCACGCCCCAGGCCTTTACCTCTTCAGTGAGAGGTTTGAAGCCGGCCTGTCCATCG